CACATACAATGAATCGTGTGCTTGCGCAATCGACGCTTCTCCACCCTACCATTGACTGCTCCCAAGTGTCTTTACGAAGTCAATTTGAAAATAGTGGTACAAACATTCGTACGGAATTCATGCATTGTGAGAGATCGAGCCGCTGATCTGTGTGCGAATTCATTATGCGAAATCTTATTTCCTTTATAATGTTTTACACCAGGGAAATTATAGCACTACTTCGAACACTGCTTGTCGGTAAATATGGTTAGCGACATCCGGTTAAGGATTAGCCTATCATTGCGGTCTCCATAGGACAGCCACAGGACGCCGGCGCCTACGGAGGGACCAAAGATGGCTTGCGCTACATCACCCACACACCCCATATCCAGTGTAAACCAGAAGGAATAAGACCGGGAGGCATGTGGATGGAAGACACGTTTCATCAACGGAGCCGGCCCACACTCCTTCAACATGCACAGTAGCAGCATTCCAGTCTACGTAGGGAATCATACGTACCAGACGTACACAAGGCGGTGGCCGGGCTCTAGTCCGCTCTACACTGCATGGAACCACTTCTCGAGATTAGCGCAGCCATGATGACCGTGCACCCCGTTCTCCCAGCAAAGATTCACAATCTCCTCCAGCCACTAAACGAGGTAGGTGTTAGACAGGTAGGCACCATGTCAACATTCACATCAAGCGCAACCACACCGGGGATACCAAGAAAAGACAACACAGAAATTGAAGGAAAGCAAACACGCAAAATGGACACAGAATATGCAGCCGAGTAACAGAATTGAACAAACCAAATAAAGTGGAATGAATTCTATACAGATTAAAAAGACTTTGATTAGGTGTACGTTGGTTTAGCTCAAATTGTGGTGAAGAAGCATCATGAAAGCAACATCAACCTCAGCAGGAGGCACATTGAAACACACACACTGAAACATTATAGTGCACCGGTAACAGATTGGGCGTTACTATGTACAACGAGAGTGGAGTTTGTTCTGAAGTCAGAAAAGTAGCTCAAACATGTAGGTCATCTTCATTTTTAAGTGTAAAATAAAGGTTGTAGAAAGTAGAATTCACGATTAAATTGCACACAATAATCTGCCTTGACGGGGAATCGAACCCCGGTCCAACGAATTTCCGGTCCGCTGCTCTACCACTGAGCTACCGAGGACTGACGATCAGGTGCGCAATTTAATACATGACTTCTGCTTGGTGCGCGACGTATTGCCAATGAGCTCACAGTATCTGTCCTGGTGTTGCAGATTGGCTCACTCACTCGTCACTTCCCAATGATGTCCAAACGGCGATGGTAGATTACGTGTGGATTTTTGTGAGTAGTGCAATGATTGTAGAAAGTAGAAGTCACCTGATCGTCAGCCCTCGGTAGCTCAGTGGTAGAGCAGCGAACCGGAAATTCGTTGGACCGGGGTTCGATTCCCCGTCAAGGCAGATTATTGTGTGCAATTTAATCGTGACTTCTACTTTCTACAATCATTACACTACTGAAAAAATCCACACGTAAAATAAAGGTACTTAACACAAAATCAGAAAACTAACATACAATGAGCCAGAGCAACAAAGGAGTTGGTACAAGAAAAAGTTTGATAAACAGTAGAGGGAATCACGGCAAGAGGATACTTGAGCGGCGTGAAGATACCACTGGATAGGCATTCGGGATTCTTCTACACCATGGCTAGAATGGAATGTAAAAAATTTTGAACAACAAACAAGGGAAAACAGCATGTTTTCCTTTTTGCTTCTTCTTAGTGTTTCACACACATCGCTTATAGTTTTTGATTTCGTATAAAATTGAAGAGAAATTGAGAAGAAAGGTTGGAACCTCATTGACGCTACGGATTTCGTTTTCCAGCCATAGCTTCTGAAACTTCCTAGCGTTTGGAATCCCCATTACGTGGTCCCCAATGTGGAAAACGAACAGATCCTATCGATGTCAAACACGTGACATTTTAATGTTCCTTATACAAATCATAGATTGTCCGCCTCGGCATTTTTTTATTCGCGCCCAGAGAATGCAAACAATGTTTGGCGAGGCAATCGAATGCCATGATTCTTCAGTAGTCACAAGGCTACCCTGTTATGTAAGCCGAATTACGGGGTTTGCTTACGGGACGGCCACCCCGAGACTGGCCAAAAGGCCCAGCCCACGATGCAGTGAAGCGCTATTGGGGACTAGCACTCGCTGGGAAGCGGCGACCGATCGATCGACGCATGCGCCTTACGAATGCCCAAAAGTCGCATCAGGGGTCCCGTCGGCGATGACTTTGTTAAGTGCCGAGTCACATCCGCCACGTCGCAGTGCTTTCATGCAGTTTTTATAGGGAAAACCCTTGTCAGGCGGATACCCAACTCACCATGCAACACAACCGCCGAATTTTCAACTATCGCTTATTCACCTCAATGGAAAAGGATGAGATTTATTCACAGATACCTCTGCAAAGGTAGTGTCCCCCAATCCGTAAACTGCGGAGGCACCCGGTAGTCCACAGCTGGGCTACTGCGGAACAGCCGTCGCATCGGATCAAGTGGTAACGTGTTACCCATCTCGCATATGTCGTTCCTCGGTGTACGACACAACCCCACTTACGCATGTGTAAACTGTACTGCAGTCTAGGATTTCGGTGTGGCTCTCTCCCATCCCTGCACTCCACAACCAACAGTTTCTTCCTGGTTTGGCGTACCCAATCAATGGTGTGTTAAAAAAACCGACAGATGCAAACTCCACAAAAAAGATCACTTTGATTTACTGATGTAGTTACGCCGGAATGAGTAACTAGCACTGTGCCGAGAAAATACGGAAGTCCTCTGACAGGCTAGGATAGAAAAGTCAGTAATTAGAGAGCCGCGAACAAGGCACGAAGAGGGATTTATCGATGCGGAAACTGTGGCACAGCTCCGTTATCATAATCTATGATTTATTCACACGTGTGCGATTACCGTTGCATAGAGAGAGGAATCCACTGCGACCGATTTCGTAATGACATGACTGCCGACAAGGCAGGGTTTTCGGTGCACCACTTCAGGAGCATATTCCACATTTGTACGGGTGTTTAGTAACGCTCTGATTGAAACTTTCGTCAGAAAATGGAAAGCGCAGAGACGAGCACTCCGTCAGCTGGTATCTTCGACGGTGAATTGGAGAACAATAAATTACATCACTGCATATAACAAAGATGCCATTGCGCCAGGCGGTTGATACCGCTCCGTGGGAGGAGGAAGACTCAGGAAGGTAAACAGATTCTATTTTGGGTGAAGTTCAGAGTTCATTTCGTATACGTTGCAATGAAAATGAGATCAAATGGTTCCCTCATGGGACCGATTTATAACAAACCGGGTGGGGGGGAAGGGAAGTTTCAACATAGGCCCATAAACAAAAGTATTCTTGGTTCGCATTTCTTACGTGACGACCAGCTAAGTATGCTAAGAACCGGCGTGGATGGATTCACAACATGACTCACTCTACGTGACAATTGTTGTCCCGAAAAAATCTAGCAGCGGATTTGGGAAGACTATCAGAGAAGAAAAATGGTAGTGATATTCGCAACAAAACAGAGTTCCTTAAATTGCTTTTCAAAGGAGAGCAAAGTGGTAAAAAGACCACGGCACTGGTCACGTCAAGCCACAAAGAGAGAATACTACTTTGCAGCTGGCCCCATGATACCACACCAAGCCAGGAAGGTAATGTGTGAATCCGATCTCAATTGGCCCCACTCTCAAGTTACCTCCCCATGCATTCATCTGTTTAACTGTGTACCTATGACGGTGAATACACCGGTCAGAGAAGCTCTTCAACCAGTAGAATGATTTGCTTCAAATTCCAGCCTACCGTGCAACCACATGAACGGCTTATGTGTAAGGTGAAAAGATTTCCTCCTTATATATACTTGGAACCGATCGAAAAGACATGACTTGGGAGAGATTTGCAAACAATCGGTTAACTTCTTTATTTGGTTACATTTCGCTATTGACATGTGGCCTAAAGAAACGCTTGTGTCAAGAACGGAACGTAGCAAAATAAATCAAACGTGTTCCTAAATCTCTCTAGAGATATGAATAGATTTCCTTTTTTTCTAGTAGTGAATGGACAAATACGGACATCCAAACAAACGGCAAATAGTGTGCCATTCACGTTCTGGAGTTTCTATACATTTAGACAAGCAATACGCCTGCATTAAGAGCAATCATATCTCCTTGCGGTAGATAAGGTGATGGAATAGGTGCTACATCTGCGCATAATACAGCTACCCTGGAGTTACAGATATTCACTGTGGCAGTCAAAAGCTTGACTGAGCATATGACTCCATTCTCCAGGTACTGCCTTGATGAGACACTTTTCTACCGAGAGGAAACATGAGATGATAACTTCAATGCACAACAGAGATAGTCGTTCCTGTCCGGCTAATTGCTTTCAAGTGCTATCAAATTTTGTGGAAACCATTGTTGTTGACGAATTCACGTCTTACGTGGATGAATTTCGTTACATCACTAAAGAGCAACATGGTTTCCGTTATCAACGGTCCTACACTGCTAGCACAAGCCCGCTGGACTGAAACAGTTGCTGTCGGATGTATGCTCGATGAATGCATTCATCAGATGGGACAAAGGGGGTACGGAAAGCAAAGTTGCATAGAGCATAAGCTTGCAGATGTTCATGGGCAATGGGCACTAACGAAATATGTCGAAACCAAAAGCTGACCTGGGTTTCAAGTGTTTTAAACCCAACGCCAACGGTGCAAGATCTTCTAACACGCCAACGTAAGTGGAAAGGTCGATTCCCTTGCGTATTGTGGCAAATAAGAAAGAAGGTACATTCACAAAGTCCATGAGATGACGCCTTTAGTGAAGCCAAACGTGCTGAACGAACCCATTTTTGGGAAGAAGGACTACTTTCTACAGCAAACAATGAGTGAAAGCCTTCGAATAATCAACTTAGCAGTGCATGAACACTTAGACAGGTCTGGAAATGTGCAGTAGAGAAAAAGCGCCACTGGCAGTAACGAAAACATTCAATTCGTCAGAGCTTAAAGCCCGGCGGAGAAGGGAGGCTGTCAAATCCTGCAAGACAACGAAGCAACACAGCGCACACGCACTGGGCGTGCACAAGCACATTGCCATCCACTCACTTACAGGCATCAGAATGAGAGGGACCACGGCTTTTAGTGACCACATCAACAAGAACAACAACAATGGTCACTGCACAATATCAACAGACAGAAATAGCGGAGAACACGAGACGACCGTCGGTACGCATACAGGTGCGAAAGCTACTCACCGTGTGCAGCAATGGTGTTTACTGACAGCAAGTACAGGCTACGCGACTCCAGCGTATGCACTTAGTCCGAATACTGGGTTCCGTTAGATGAGTCACCGAAACCCTGACTGATTGCGATACATCCAACACAGACTATTTAAGAACAAAGCGTCGAACAATAAGTAAACAAAACGGCTGAACAGCTAGCGAACGCTTCATATGGCATGAAAAGCAACACACACACATATACACAAGAGAGTGACAGTAGAAAGAGCCTTGTAAAACGCTGGAAGGATTTCATCAAAGTATGCGGTGACGAGCAGCCTCGGTTTAAGCCACCATTTAAAATTTCTCTTGGTATAAGCAATCAAATTATGAGGTCGAGATTGTTCCTTAGGACACAAAAACGAACAATGTGGGTGTGAGTGTGTTTGGCGGGAAACATGAGGTTGGAAACAGCTAAATGTAGAACAGTGTATCCAGGGGGGGAGGAATATGGTTAGCTTGACACATGTCGCCAAAATACTGGTATCAATAATGACAACAGTAATGATAACTAGTCAAGAGTACTAACAGAAACGGTGCTACTGACATCGTGACCATGGCATAATCGATAGGGCATCCAAATAGCGGTGTAACGGATTTCAATGAGGGTGATGAACGTCAACCCGACCAAACCTTAGGATGAGCTACGGCATGCTCTGTTATCATGTCATGCGACAAGACACCGTAATGGTAGTCACATCGATGCAGGCTACCTGGAGACATGCGACCGAGTCTTTCGAAACTACTTGAGTTCAACTCTAAAACGACATAAGGATGTTGCCACGTAGCAGATGACAGACTAAGTATAGGCCAATCAATTTTCCCACTGGAGATGAGCAATAAGTCGAACGCAACAGTGACAAAACACAAGCAATTATTTAATATCCCAACAATGGAAACGTCAGACCTCCGATCGACAAGGTAACATGGACCACAAAGCAGTGCTGTAAACCTCTTACAACCAACATTCCGGCTTGTCCATAAGTGGTAGAGACTTTAAAAACCACGCGACGCTTAGCAGGACACTGCAAAATATCTTCGGCGACTTAATCATAGGAAGTTATCTAGCTAGATAAATTGAATGAACTCCTCGAAAAATTGGTCGATAATGCCTAGAACTGATGGTCGGTCGGCTTAGTTGTGCTGCATTAATTTGCATTTTGAAGAGAATTCACACGAGGCAATCAATTACGCGCACCAATGATGGGCATATGACATAAACTTGGAGCGCGTCTTGCAGAAGGACTAACAGCTCCTGACGCAGTGATAGCGACCGAGCACAAATAACATTTTGAGCGGCATCCAACTAATATCAACAACCATATTTAGGTGTTATTGCATGCAGTTGTCTTAAGAAGCCAAACAGGTTCTACTGGATAACCAATAGCATGAGGAACTCGTGAAATCGACGGACCGCTAAAACGCAAAGGAGCTGAAGGGTTCTGCTAAAATCGGAAGGAATAACGAGGGCGAAAAGTAACAAAGATCCTTTTCAGTCTCGTTGGGAACACACTGCATGAACTACCAGTGGAGAGGAATGTCTGTTTGAAAATTGGTTGTCAACGCAGTGTTCTGACAAGAGGTTACAGTTGAAAGCTCTTATCCGGATGATCCTATCCCATCCACGGAAGTCAGTCATCTAACTCGATTTCTTTTGTTCCATTCGCACAACGCCAATCCGACCAAACAGTTTCAAATGTAGTGGCCCGTTTACAGATTCAACTAACACCGCTACATGGATGGTTGGCAGCATCCGGTTTCGGATTTGTCTGTCACTGTGGCAAGCCACAGGACGCCTGCGTCTACAGATGGACCATGGGTGGCTTGCGCTCCACCACCCACACCCCATATCCAGTGTAAACCCGAAGAAATAAGACCGGGAGGTATGTGGATGGGAGCCACGTCTCATCAACGGAGCCGACCAACACTCTTTCACAGACAAATACAAGCACGCTGTTTTGGGAATCAAGCGCACACAAGGCGGTGGCTAGAACGTGGGCCGCTCCACAGTGAGTGCGTGGAACCCCTCTTTGATCCGTCCCCTCCAGTAACGACCAACTGTCTCCTGGAGGCAGTATGGACGAGGTAGTGGGTAATAGATAGGTAGGCCCCTTGTCAACATGCACATCAAGCGCAGCCACACCGGGGATATCAAGCAACAGCCAATCACTTGGAATGACAAGATGAAATAAAATGAAGCGGGTAAAGCACACAGATACCGTGACATAACTCTTCACTAAATGAGCGTATGAAATAAATTGGTTACGAACGAATCCGCGATAAGTTCAAGAGGCTACACGGATACATACCTGTATACACATATGAACGATCCCATGATCATGACTATGTAGGTGCATCGCGTAGTGTCAAGAATAGACAAATATATATATTTAGTTCTATCCTTGCAACAAGTTCAACGTGGATGAAGAGCGAAGGTGGCACTGACACAATACAGACAACAGCGTATTAAATAATATGGCCTCCGGTTTGAGGAGATAGAGTCAAGTAGGTGAGGAGGAAACATGTGTGCTAACAAAAAGTGCCTGCTGTGAAATGGCTGCAATACCCCGGTGTGTAAGACAGGTTGTGTGTTGTAATCGAATAGCAGACTAGGTTACACAAAGACATGTCAGAGACACTTATAGCAGCAAGTGGAACGCAACAACTCTGTGCATGTAATCAGCGGTCAAAATATTTCCCCTTGATAAACTGACATCGAGGGAAGAAAGGAAATCAGATTCGTTTCGCCGCAACATGCAGCTAAGGATGGGAGTGGAATAGCGGAAAATGCGGTCAGATTGTTGCCGTGAAGTCGGACGAAGCGGCACAATGGCCACCGCCGCCTTTGGTGTTCTCATACACTAAACTATTGGACTGAGGGGAAGAGTTATGGGGGGACACAAGGTAATAGAAAGATGAAATATGATACAATCTACAGGATCAAAATGCGAATGCGCAGCAGAGAAGAATCACAAAATGCATGCAACAGCGATTCTCCCCAACGGCATGGTGAACATGAAACAAAACGTAGTTCAGATATTTAAATAGAGGGCCAATTTTGCATTACACGTTGTGCGACTAGATTGCGACGCGCAATCTCAACGTAGATCGCGATGCACATTGAAGTGTACCTTGGTCATTGCGATCACTAGGACCGTAGCCGAAGCAGATAGAAAGTGGATGCTGCCAGGTGGAAAATATTGTGCAGTATTTTCAGTTAGTTCAGATATGTTGATCGGCAATCCCCCGAGCAAGGAAGCTCGAAGTATTCTGCTACCTCAGCGCGTAGAACCATCAGAGTAAGGATAGATGAAGTGTAAGAAAACGGACAAACGAAATAGTAAATCGGAATATGAACAAAACTAATGGCGGTGGAGTGGTCAGGTTGAAGAGTTGACAGATAAAAGAAAGGCGCAGAATACAAAGTGTCAAAGGCATCGCCAACAGAACCACTTTGCCCGCGCGATTTAAGACAGTCCATCAAACATCTTTGAATTTTTTTGAATTCAAAATTTTTGAATTCAAAAAATAAAGTGATCCAGTTGCAGTTACTGTTAGTACAGAGATGAAGAGAAGCGGATAGTATAGATGCATCCAATTTATCGTGGATAATTAGGGAGAGCCACTTACGCATCCTACGGTAGTCTATGGAGCTGCAGAGCAGAAATATCAAGGTACACCTATCAATGAAAGATGGTGCATAAACAGTTTCGAGTGCTATCTGCAAAACAAAGAAGATTACAGTAGGCTGTCGCTGAGTTGGATGATGTCCAAGTGGTCCGTAGAATATACACATGAGTGATACGTCCACTATGTGGACGGACATCAGGCATCTTTTGTCGATTTAACCTACTTCAGGACCAGTGCACATCTGTGGTAAGATTTCTGCAAGCAACCTGAAGACTTGGCATGTCAAACTAGTGGCTGGTGGACTACACGTGGCCCTATGCAACCACACCTACCTACCGCGCAATGCATATATATATCTGGTTGGCAGAACCTGGTTCCGGATGTGTCTGTCACAGTGTCATCCACAGGAGGCCGGCGCATACAGAGGGACCATGGGTGACTTCAAGTTAAGTCAAAATAAGCTTGATAAATCCTAATGGGTTCACCTTCAGCATTTACACCACCACATGCTTGGGTAGAAAATTGGGAAAAAGGCAAAACTGTTACTCCAACAACCGCTCGTGCAGCATGTTAGTGTCTTTTACTGTGTCAACAAGCAAACGTGGGAGATAAGGCAAAACAGTGCACCAACAACAGAGCCATCATTACACCCCATATCCAGTGTAAACCCGAAAGAGTAAGACCGAGACGCATATGAATGGGAGCCGCATCTCATCAATGGAGCCGACCTACACTCCTTTAATATGCACAATAGCAGCATTTCCGTCTATCTATGTAGGATATCATGCGTACCAGACGTGCAGAAGGCGGGGGGCTGGGCCGTAGTCCGCTCCATACTGGATTAACCCTTTCACGCATAGAGGTCACTGGAGTGGACGGCTACAATTGGCTCGTTTCCCAGCTACACAGGTGTTTTTCATGACCTCTGATGCATGCAGTCCCATCCAGTGACATTGCTTTGTATGATGTAACCATTACCTGCGCGGTAAATTTTTTTCTACTGTGTAGTCAAAATGGCGGACAAGTCGATATCTGGTATACATAATTCATATGGGTGTACTATGTACAAAAAAAGTTTCTACAGAAAAGCATCATGTGTGGTAAGTAATGATATCTCAGTTGCATATAGTATATGTCACGTGAATTATAAGGTTTCTTTTGAAGCTGTTTACGTAGGTTATCATTCAGTGTAAACCAGTCCACTATAGTGGACTTCATGCAATAAGGTCATAGAAGACCACATCCATGTAATGTATAGACACACATTCTGATATTGATAATAATTGTGAAATTATAGTGTCCACCTTTAAATTATCATTTATAAGCTAGTGCTGTGATTTGTTATAAGATAGTATATAAGCATACTGTTATTTATTTCAACTTCAGGGCATACTAGATTTTTTGTGTGGATTCAGACTATTCTTCTGCTGATGATAGTCACGGGGATGAAGAAGGCAGTCTTATGTCTGCGACACAAC